CTTCTTTTCCATTTGTTTCCAGGAATCTTTTAATTTCTATTTTGATTTCTCTGTTGACCCAGGAGTAGTTCAGCATCATGCTGTTTAGTGTCCATGTGTTTGTAGGTTTGGGGAGAATTTTGTTGGTGTTGATATTTATTTTTATTCCATTGTGGTCTGAGAAAGTACATGGCATTATTTCAATCTTATGAAATTTATTTATGCTTAAATAATGGCCAATAATGTGATTGATCATGGAGTATATTCCATGTGGTGATGAGTGGAATATATATTCTGTGGTTGTTAGGTTGAGTATTCTATAGGTATCTTTTAAGTCCTTTTAGTCAAGCAGCATGTTGAGGTTCCAGATCTCTGATGATTTTGTCTTGATGATCCATCTAGTGTTAGTAGAGTATTTAAGTTTCCAGTTATGATAGTGTTATTGTCAATATCTTTTTTAGTTGACTTAGTAGTTGCTTTATAAATGCTGGTGCTCCTCTGTTGGGTGCATATATATTTAGGATGGATATTTCTTGTTGATGGATTGAATCTGCTGTCATTATTTAGTGTTCTGTATAATTAAAAATGTTTATAGCTTAAATGTTGTTTTGTCTGATATTAAAATCATGACTCCTGCATTTTTTTGTGATTTGTTCTCCTTGAAATTTGTTTTCCATCCTCTCTAACTTTGAGTCTGTGTGTGTCCCTTATGGTGAGATGAGTTTCTTGAATGCAGCAAATGTTTGGGTTGTGTTTATTATCCAGTCTGCCATTCTATGTCTTTTCAGTGGTACATTTAACCTATTTAACCATTCAGGCTGATTATTTAAATGTAAGTGTTTATCCCCACCATGAGGTTCTTAAAAAGTTTTTCCTTTATTTGTTTTCTTTTAACTTTTTGGCTGATGTGTGTGTGTGTTTTCAAGTTTGTAGTCATGACGTATTCTTTGCTGATTCAGTGTTCTTCTATTCTTTTGGGAAGTGTGTGGTCATTCTTTTTGTTCTTTCTTCTAGGTTTAATACATTTTAAAGTGTTTCCCATAGAGCTGGTCTGGAAGTTGCTTATTCTCTTAGACTGGATGTCTAGGAAGGATTTTAATTCTCCATCACTGTTGAAACTGAGCTTGGTTGGGTAGAAAACTCTTGGTTGACAGTGTTTATCTTTGAGGACTTTTAAAATTGGATTCCAGTCCCTTCTAGCCTGTAATGTTTCTGCTTTTAGGTCTGCTGCTACTCTTTTCAGTGTTCCCTGGTAGGTAGTCTGAACTTTCTCTCTTGCTGCCTTTAAGATCTTTTCTTTTGTACATACTTTGTGTAGGTGAATTACACTGTGTCTAGGGGGTTGGTCTTCTCATTTGATGTCTTGCCAGGGTTCTCTGTATCTCTTATGTGGATGGTCACATCACTTTTGAGATGGAGAAATTATTCTCAGATAACTTCCTAGAATACTTGCTCCAAGGTGTTTTCTGTTTCCCTTTCCTCTTCTGGGTTAGCAAGCAGGCATTTGTTCAGTTTCTTGGGACAATCACACATCTCTTGGAGGCTTTGTTCTTTCTGAGTTTTCTTTCTATATTTTTTTACAGATTGGGTTAATTTCATGTTTCGGTCTTCAGGCTCTGAGACTCTTCTTCTTGATTAGTTCTTCTTTCCATGCTTGTCTTTTTGTTTTTTATTTTCTGAATGAAGCCAAAATCTCTGTTACAAGTTCTTTCAGTGTTGCATCTTGTCTTTCTTGAGGCTTATTCATTCTTTCCCTCCATTCTCTAATCCCTGTTGTATTCTGGGACCGGTTATTGGTGACTTCCACTGTTTAGACTCTGAGGTCTGATTTTTCAGGTGTTGTCTCTTTGGTACACTGGGTATTATCTGTGCTACTCTGTCAATTTTTCCTCATTTGTGACAGATCTTTCTTTTCTCTTCAGTTCTATTATTCAGTGGCAGTGGGGGAGGGCGGGGCTTTGACTTCTGATGCTTGCTCAGCGCTCTATTCTTCCCTGATTAGGGCTCTGAATTTGTTCTATTTTGAACAAGGTTAGTGGTGGGAAGCTTTACTGTCTCTTGTAGTTTTGAGAGTTGAATAAATTGGAGGATGGGGAGTTAGGAGTCAGAAACTATGTGCATATCACAATTCTATGTGCACAAAACTATGTGCATATTCACTGACTGGGTACGGTTTCCCTGAGACCCACTCTCTACCACCACTCTATATGATGATGCAGTGGGTATGTATGTGTACTCCCCGAGTCCAAAATAGAGTAACAGCAATGAGAAGAACAGAGAAAATTAGAATGAAGTAGGAAGGACAAAAAATAAAAACAAAACAATAGCACAGCAATGCAAAAGCAGAAACCCAAGCAAAAAAAATAATAACACACACACACATACAGGAAACAAAACAAAACAAGTAAACCACTCCCCAAATAAACAAGAAAACCAAAGATATACACATGCGCACACACACACACACACACACACACACACACACACACCCAAGACAAAACAAAAACAAAAAGGAGGGAATGCAAATCAAACCCCCACACATACATTCACACACACATTAAACTAAAAAAAGAGAACAACAGAACAACAGCAACAACAACAACAACAACAAAGAAATTGAAAGGTGAACACTCAATCATGTATACACATAAACAGAAAACAAAAAATGAAAGAAGAAAGACCAAAAAAAAAAAAAAAAGGAGAAAAGGAGAGGGAATGCAAATCAAACCCTCACATACACATTCATGCACAAAGAAAAAATAACAAAAAATTAAAAAAAAATTAATTCTGGGCTGTAATTCTCACAGATAAGCCCTTCTGCTATTTCCTGTGGAGTTGCAGCCTCATTCACAATCTCCCCCAATGCCCAGCTCACAGAAAGAGGAGGGGTGATGGAGGTGGGCTTCAGTCCTCCCCTCCTACTCTTCTATGGTCAGGGAGATCCCCTCTGGTTTGGAGATGCAGGATTGTCTCCTCCCCAGGTACCGGCAGGGGGTGCCCCAGCCAGGCTTATCCTGGAGTAGAGTCCTCCTATCGCAACTGACATCCAGATTGAATCCAGGTAGGAGGTGGAGAACCTGAGACTCAGCACTCATCCTATTCCTCCAAAGTTTGTGTTTTCAGAATATTCCCTCTGAGTCATGATCAGCCCCTGAGTAGTTAACCTGCAAGTCACAGAGATCAGTCTGTCACTCTGTGGTGAGCAAGCTGGAGCACTTCCCTGCCTAGTTTTCAAGTTGGTGGCAGGGTGCCTGTTTCATCTTTTCCAGTGGGAGTCTGCCTCTGGCTCCCTCACTTTATTCCCTCCACTACACTTGCTTCCAGTGTCTGGCCAGGCACTGCAGTGGTGAGGCATAACCTGGAGCCTGCAGTCACTCCCTGCAGCTTCTTCCCTGGAAGGGCTTTGCAGATTTTAAAAAATGGCACTCAGCTTCTGTGCTTGGGAAGTGCTAGGGGCCAAGCAAAGCAGCTGCAGCTCAAGAAGCTTCACAAGGAGGGCTCTTGCCACTTGATCCTGAGTCCCCACTCAGTCAGCCACTCACAGGCCCACTTACAGACACGTACACAAAATTGTCCATACATGCACTCACTCACACAGGGACAGCATAGTCTGACTGACTCTGCTACCATCTTCCCTTCCTCTTATGTGTGTATTTGTAATAAATAAATGTTGGGTTGTAGTCAACAGAAAATATAGCATATTTAGGTACTTTTTACTTTATCCCAAGAAATTTATTTAATAGAAATAAACAGAGAAAAGTGAAAGAGCAAGTCAGATAAGTTTAGAACCTGGGCATGCTGTGAGTGGATCCCCCAGAGCAGCTGGGCAAGGTGAGGAGGCACAAACAGGCAGTAGAACTCAGAGCAGGGATGGGATGGCCTGACTGGTACCAGGAATGGCAGGGACCAGAATTCAAGTGTCTTCTTCTTCTGTTTGTCAAACTCAATGCAAAAACTTGCCAAATGAAATGCTGGAGACTTTAAGAGTCACTATAATGAGACTGTGAAAATAGGTTTGAGTCCAGAGTTTGAAGTCTGGAGGGAATCACCATTAGTCTGTGGTAGTATTGGGAGAAAGATGCTCTTATAACCAAGTATTTCTTACTGTGTTACTATCAGGAATAACTTCACTTATTTGTTGCCATATACTTTTAGATCATCTGTAAAAGACAAATGACATGCAATGACACATCAACTTGATAAAACCCTACTTTCATTATGAAGAACCAGAGAGTGTCTAAATTTGAGTAAATGCTCTGTTAAGGATGCATTGCTCATAATTAAGTAAAATGTTTGCTCAAAAAAAGAACTGTGCAAATGATGTAAGAAAAAAAGGAAAAAAAAAAAAGTCGTCAAAGCAAATGTATAAAGGACTACATCTGCACATCACCCTTTAAATGCTTTTCCTGAGTATTTTGAAAATTGAAGTCTAGGAATCTTTGAATGTTATTGAGACAATAAATCTCCCAAAGGAATTCTTTAAAAGCAGAAGGATCCCATTCTCCTCAATAGTGAGTTTTTAAACAGAGGATATGTATCTATTATGTGGAGCCCTCTGTCTCTTGACAAACTGAAGTTCCATTGGCTTTCCAGGCAGTTTTTGAGTCTCTCATGGAAGCCTGCTTTCCTTAGGATAGAAAATGATTGAAATACATTCCATAGTTTTCTTCTTAATTCAAGTCACATTTTTGGATTTGAATCTTAAAAAAAAGTTTAGCATTAAACAACAGGTATATTATCAAAAGAATCCTATATGATTTATAACTAAAGAACAATTCTGAAAGAAATTTTCCTCCGCAATGAATAAGATGTGAACTCTGAGTATATAGGGTGATGTATATGAAGAAGCTTGAGCTTGCCCCATCAGCTTCTGTAAGGTTATTTTTACATATAGTCTCATGCTCATTTGTTATGGGAAAGTTCTTTTTTTTGGGGGGGGGAGAGATTCAACCAAGCACAAAACTAAAATCTAGAGCAGGAATAAGGGGCAGATCCAGGTGTTTTTAGTGGGAATATTGGCATCAGGCAATTCTTCTCTTAAGTACTGGAACCGGTGGAGTTGAAAACACATTTTTTCTGTGAAACAGAAACACAAATAAAAACATCATCTTTAGAGAAGCACTCATAAGAAACTGGCTTTCTCCTGGAAATCTCGAATGAGGAATAGTATGCACACTGGCTTCCAGTTTACTTTACTAAGCTGCTACAATGAGCCACCCCCTATTCTATTTGATGAGGAATAATAGCAAAAAACAGGCACTTGTCTTAGGAACTTCTCACAAATCCAAATATTCCCCGTTTTGACCGCCCAGAAAAGGGAAACCCTTCAGTACAAATTGGAATTTGAAACACTTCATATACCTGACTTACTTTAAATTTTTAATTATTTTTTGTATCCATTTGGCTTGAGGTGTCACACATACAATGGATTTATTTTTCTTCCAGATTCTGGGGAAAAATAAACAAAAACAAAAATAAAGCAGTGTTACATTTTAGTTGATCCTATACATTTAATAAAGAAAAGAGTCAGGTATGAAAATAATTATTCCCAGATGAAGTGCAACTGGAGCTGGGCAATTTTGGATCTGGAATAGGTGGTTTGCAGTATGGTGTCTGAGGAATAAGAAAACAATAATTTGTGGGCTGCTGTGTTGTGAGCTGGTAAAGCTGAATCCAAAGTTGAGAGAGTCTCACATGTCAGAGATTAGTGTTATGTTGATAACCTTTACATGAGATGGAGAAGGACCAAATAGCTGACTCCAAAGTTGGCTCAATTTTACATTTATATCACAATATTTTAAAAATGTGCTTGTTGCCTCTTTTGCTTGAGAGAGCAAAACAGGCTATAGAAAACACTCTCTTGAGAAGCTTTTATTTGAAAACTATTTCAATGAAATTTAACATGGGGGGGCTATTGCAGAGCTGATTGCTCTGACTGACATCTTTATTTTAACAAACCACCAGTTAGTAAGGTTTTTTTTTCCTGCTTTAAGAAATTAAGCTTTAACAAAAGCAGCAACAATAACTAATAGCTAATGTTTATCAAGTACTTACAATGGGCCAGGTATTATGCTCAGCAGGTAACATAGATTATCTCAGTTAATCTCACAAAAATTTTGTTCTAGAGGAACTATTCTTTCCTTGCCTTCTTATGAGGCACTTGAGGCTTAGAGAGTTTAAAGAACTTTTCTGAGATTGAACAATAAGTATATGATAGAGCAGGATTCATAGGAAGGTTATCTGACTCTACAACCCCAACGTTTAGCCACTGCTTCCCATGAATAGTTACCAAGTGCCAGACACAGTATTGAGTGCTTTACCTGTGGTGGAAAAGTGAGGTCTCCTATGTGACAGAAAACTGGGAGACTACTATCTACTAATGTGACCTCAAACAAAGCATCATTTTTTGGTATGTCATTTATCTTAGCTATAAAATGATAAACAGCAAGGACCCATCCATCTAACTTTGAAACTCTGTCTTTGTAAGTGAATATTAGGTCAGAGGGCATGGGACAAACCCTTCCAAATGGGTTTCTGAATTTATGATGGAAAACAGATTTCTGATCATCTGGACTCACAGTATTTTCATCCCAGACTGGTATGAGTTTCTCATAATAAGGCGCAGTTTCCATTTCTATATCTGGACACAATTCAGAAATGCAGAATTTGATGAGATGATGTGAAATAAACTTTTTATCATTTCCAAATGATTCAAGTAAAAGCAGAGAAAATTAAGGTTCATTTATTACTTCCCTTAGTTAAAAGGTACAGGGAGTCATGACAGAGAAAATGTAATCAAAAGAAAGGAGTCCCAGTTTTCTATACAGCCAAAGGAATTGCTCCCAGGTAGGTTATGGCTAGACTTCACATCTGAGTTTGAGGACAGTAACCGTGGTTTAGTTAGAACTTTGATTGGTAAAGACATTGCTGAAAGCATAATGCCTTTTTAATGAAAAAAATTCTATATACATTTTTGATAACCCATATTTCTTTTTTTTTTTTTTACAAATTGAGAACAACTGGTCTGAGGCCCAAAGCACTAGTATCAAAATGGGACATACAAAAAGTAGCTGCCAAGCCGGGCTCGGTGGCTTAGCCTGTAATCCCGCGCCTTTGGGAGGCTGAGGTGAGTGAATTGCCTGAGCCTGCGGGTTCAAGACCCGCCTGGGCAGCGAGACCTCATCTCTACAATAAAATAAATAAATCAGCCAGGCGTGGCAGCGCATGCCTGTAATTCCGGCTACTTGGAAGGCTGAGGCGGAAGGATCGCCGGAGCCCAGCAGGTCGAGACTGCGGTGGCCGGGAGCGGCCACTGTACTCCAGTCTGGGCGACAGAGTGAGACTCCAACTCAAAAAAAAAAAAAAAAAAAAAAAGTAGCTGCTTAAAAACATTCCAAAAGTCTAAAGAAGTCCATGAGAAGAGCTACTAATGAAAGCAAAGTCATGGCTGTCCTGAGAAAGATTCTATGCCTAACACTTAAAGGTGTAGTGAAGAAGAGGCTTTGGAATGGGGAAAAAGTGGGTGGAGTACTAGCTAGTGAACTTCCTAATCCCCTTCTAATTGGTGTGCCTCAGGCAGTTAGTCAACCTCTCTAAGCCTCAGTGTATGTTCTTAAGAACAACTATAGACTGCACCTTAATAGGGTTATTAAAGGAAAAAAATGAATGAGTCCATGTAAAGTACTTAGCTCAGGACTGTGGCAAAGTAAGTACTTAAATATTAACAATTCCCATTATTAGCTTGAGAATTTTGGGTAACACTCAAGTAAATCTGCTTGAGATTCTTAGTAAGAATACTGTCTGGTAGAATTTGATCTAATTTTCACAGGGTAAAAGGTATCATATTTTCTTACATGATTTCTGTTTTTGGACAACCATTCCCACGGGGCAAGACTTGAAGGCGTTCAATGATGCGTGGGGCGATATAGGATGAGGTCTCTTGGATACATCTACACTTCAGGTTTGTGTTATAGGCCTCCAGGACACCTGTAAACACAGACTCAATTATTTTAATCTCTTTGGTATATAGTTTATAACTAGAACTTAATTGCTAATCTTTCATACTGTGCATTTGAAGACTTAAAAATTTTGGCTGGATGCAGTGGCTCATACTTGTAATCCCAGTATTTTGGGAGACAGAGGCAAGAGGTATGTCTGAGTCTGGGGGTCTGAGACTAGCCTGGGCAACTTTGCAAGACCTTGTCTCTATAATAAATGAAAAAAGTGGTTGGGTGTGATGGCGCTTGCCTATGGTTCCAGCTGAGAAAGAAGGATCTTCTGAGCCCAGGAGGTTGAGGAAGCTGTAGCCGTGATTGTGCCACTGCAGTCTAGCCTGGGGGACAGAGTGAGACCTGGACTAATAAATAAATAGATAAATAAATAAATAATTCAAGTTGGCACTTTCACTCATATGCCTTTTCAGTTAAAAATTAGGGGGAAGTCTGACTAACAGGGAAAAAGTTGCTCCGTGGCTTCTAAGTTTCTCAAAGTAAGATGCTTAAGGATTTAACTCTTAGAAACTAGAAGTTTTTATATCATTAAAATATTTATTTGTAGAAGGAGATTCTGGAAGCCCAACATTCATGTGACTTATATTTGGCTTGGCAAACTACAGTTTGCCTTGACTTGAGTATTTTCAAATGTTTTCTACAGAAACCTTACAAAAAATTTAGTTTTTTGAAAAAAAAAAAACCAAAACACTTATTGTAATTATATTGGGACTCAGGTGATTGTCCATATAATAACATTTGAGAGCAACTTCTGTAGGAAAGTACAATTCAGTTATAATCAAGGCAACATAAAATCAACTGATCACCTTCACTCCTAGCACATAAAAACCAAGGACATGACCTGGTTATAGTGTCCTGGGATCAATAACATGCTGTCCCAGAGTTCTTTCTCTTATCATACCCCCATCCACCCTCTCCTTTTCTCTGAGAAAATGCCACAAAAGATACTTTTTTTGTTGTTTTTGTTCAACATGTTGGCCCTCTATCAGTTGCAAATCATTACAAAACAAAAGCCTATCATAAAAACTTAAGACGGTTTTTATTTAACAGTAAGTTATGAATACTTGATAGGTAACATTGGTACCCATCTCAAGCATTTTATTGGAATTTAATAAACTCTATGTGGATTAAAAAAATTATCGAATCTTCTTTATCAAGAGTACCTACCACTGTGTTTTACATGTATTTATAAATAAAAAGCCTCAATTCTCAAGGTGTTCACAATTTAGTGCAGGAAACAAGAGAAAAAAAAAACTAAAATACCACAGATGATTGTATTACACCCAAGGTCTAAACTGCATTATAACCAAGGTCTAAACAGAGGACTTACTAACAGCCAAGAGCAATGAGAAAGTTTCATGAAGGAGGAGAGAAATGAGGATCTTCATGAAGAGTGAAAATAACATGTGAAGCAAAATAATAAAAGTTGGGAGAAAAAACCCTCTGCATTTTCAGAACTAAATTTTGTTCTCTAAACCTGAGCAGAGTGTTTCTTTCTGCACATGCATCTATTCCTTCAGTCATATAAAAACGTAGATACTTCAACTAGATATTTATCGATTTACACAAAGAAGCCCACCCTATTTAGAGCTGGAAGTCTACTTCTTTGCAGAATGTATGTAAATACCACTAGTGTACTTATGATGGTTCACTTGACAGTAGATCTAACCACGTGGAATTGCATTAAGAATGTTCACTGCAAGAAATTGCATTAAGAATGTTCATTGCATTAAGAATGTCAATAATCTTTAAACCCTACAAAAGGTTTCATCAAACAGGGTAGCATTGAAAGGCAGAACAAAGAAGAGATACATATGAAGAATTAGTTACAGCAGGATCTGAATCTGAAAAAGGTCAGGAATATACAAACCAAATATAAGTCACATGAATGTTGGGCTTCTAGAATCTCCTTCTATGAATAGATATTTTAATGATATAAATACTTCTAGTTTCTAAGGGTTAAATCCCCAAGCATCTTACTTTGAGAAATTTAGAAGCCGTGGAGCAACTTTTTCCCCTTTAGTCAGACTTCCCCTTAATTTTTAACTGAAAAAAAAAATTGAAATGGCTAAAGACTATTTCTGTTCAAAGGGTAATGAAAACATAAGTGAAAATACTTACCTTGGACAGGAAAGTGACTGCTAACCAGCAACAAGAGAAACAGAGATGCTGAGGTGGACTTCATTCTGACTGGAGGTGTAGTTCAGACTTCAGCTCTGAGTCCAAGCTGTGCAGTTGCAGTACCAGAGACTCCTTTTTATTTATACCAATAAGGGCCCTCCCACTGCCGTTGTCTCCAGTAGGTCAGCTGCATCATCAGTTTTAATGCTGCTGAGCTTGCTTTTTTAAAACTTCTCTTGTAAACTTTATAAATTTGTTTCAGAGCACCATAATAAAATTTTCTTGAAAATGTAGACTATAAGTGCCAGAGATGCGAGAGAAATTTGACGGTGGGGACAGAGGAAGAAACTATCAGTCAGGAGGATCTGAGGTACTGTCTTAGGATCATGATTGGTGACAGAGGCTCTGATCACTTCCCTCAGTGAAGGGTCAGCCAAGTTTCTCAATGGCATTTAAACATATATATTCCATGATACTAGGGACTCTGTTGAATATCCCCAGTACCTGCAAGAGACTTTAGCCCTTGGTAGACGTTCAGTAAGTATTTGTACACTTAATGTCTCCTTATATAAGGTCCTTATGCTGATTATACTATTGATTTTCCTACCAATATTTTTCTCTTCTTATTTTACTATCTGAAATATGTGATTACTCATATAATCTGACCATTATGGAATTCTTGCAAAGGGGTAGTATGTATTGCCTTTTGCATGTATCTGTGTCTTTATGATGGGAGGGAGACAACAGCTTTGAGGAGGAGTATCTTTCTGGCTTTGGTATGCAAGTCAGTGAGCTCGAGAACCATGTGTCCATGGAGGGAGCCATTAGAACATCATCAGATTAAAAAAAACAAACCAAAACAAAGCAAAACGGTATGTGAGCAATGGCTAGTCTGGTCTATAGTACCACTGAGCTGCCCTGGGAGTAGACAAGTGTGATGTGCAAACCAGACCCACTGGACCACTAAAATAGCAGAGATTTGGTCTTCCTGGTATAACTTCCTAAACAATATGGTTTTTGCTAATCAATTAGTGTTGTGGATGTTTAGCATCCTGGGTGTTCCAGCATGCATGGTGGTGGTGGTAATACCATACAAGCATCACACAGCAAGAAGTTCTCTTGTTGGCTTGAGGGTGGTGATAAGGAACTCATGGATCTTGAAGCAGCCCACTCCATTGTTCGGCAGTTCTAGTTGTTGGAAAGTTCTTCATTATGTGTATATATCCCTAGTAGTTCAGTCATTTGTTCTATTTCAACCCCTTATCACAACAGGAAACAATTCAAAATGTTCTTCTATATGGCAGTACTCTAAATATTTGAAGTAAGGGTGTGTCATTTGGGTCCTCTGTGAGGCAGATGCTGAGATGGACCCTGGAGTAAAATAAGTTTATTCACAATAATTCCTGTGATAGATAAAAGGGAGGAGGAGGCAGAACTGGGCAGGCTGAGTCTCAAACTGCAGTGCTGATCTGACAGTCTATGACAACTCAACAGGGAGCTCCAGAGAAAAGATTGTTAGTAGAGGAGCCCCACAATGGGTGTAAATGTCCAGACCCTGCTACCCCTGTCATGCTTGCCATGGGCTGGGCCTCCTCAGAAAAGCATGGTCTCAGAAAGCTGAAGCAGATCTTGAGGGGTTAATAGCTCGAGGCTGTCAGTTAACTATGCTCCTTGCCACTGGCCAGCAAGTTATTTCTTTAAGGGAATGCTGAGCAGTGCATCTCTCTGGCTTCACACAGGGTTATCTACTAGAGGCTAATAGCACAAAGTATGGGGTAATCTGGTCAATGACTTTGGAAAGGTCACCTAATTTCTCTATGTCTCATATTTACCAGTTTTCACATGAGGATAATACTAATGTCAAAGGATTGTTTGGAGAATTAAAGCACCTGGTATATGCAGAGTGTTTAGCAAAGTTCCTGGCATGTAGAATGTATTCAGTAAATAGCCTGTCTGTTCATCCATCCATCCATCCATCCATCCTCAATAGATCTTCTAACTTCCACTCCCAAACCAACAAGTACACACTTCAAAATTTATAACACAGTTTGAATCTTTGAATTTATGATCTTTGAATCTCCTTCACCATCTTGGTTTATCTTAGAGAAACCTGTTGATCTCCATTGTTTCTCATATATCATGACTGCCCTTCCTTTTATGCCTCACCTTCATTCTCTCTGACTTGTAGTCACATACATGTGCATAGTTTCCCATGCACACATATGAACACTATACTACCTTAATAAGGTTATGCCAATACAAAGTAAAGGAAACCTATTACGTCCTTTATCCTAGGAAATATTCTTCTATTAATGCCTTCCTAGACTGAATAAGATTCTGGTTACTTATATTGAATCAGTTGGCAATACAATACCATTCCTGTTTCTGATAGTGTCTAATTCATTTCACTCTTTTTTTTTTTTTTTTTTGAGTTGGAGTCTCACTCTGTCACCCAGACTGGAGTGCAGTGGCCGCTCCCGGCCACCGCAGCCTCGACCTGCTGGGCTCCGGCGATCCTTCCGCCTCAGCCTTCCAAGTAGCTGGAATTACAGGCATGCGCTACCATGCCCGGCTAATTTTTTGATTTATTGTAGAGATGAGGTCTCGCTGCCCAGGCGGGTCTCGAACCCACAGGCTCAGGCAATCCACTCACCTCAGCCTCCCAAAGGCGCGGGATTACAGGCTGAGCCACTGAGCCCGGCTTCATTTCACTCTTATGTGATTTGATCTTGAGACCTAAGTATAGATGTTTTGCATTTGCTTCTGTTGTAAATATTCCTTGTTAGGGCAAAAATGAATGATGCTGATAATAATTGGAAGAGTATAGGGACAAAGGTACCTGAAGGAGAGCTCCAAATACATCTAGAAAACATCTGAATTGATTTTTATTAAACAGGGCCACAAGATCAAGGAGTAAGTTTAGAGCAAATTCCAAATCCTAAAATCTGATTTTAGTCTCCTTAATGCCCAACTTTCTGGATTTAGATTATACTGACCAAAGAAGCCTTATACACGACTTCTCCAAGATGAGGTTGGAGATTGGGCAACTCTCTGATAGCCAGATGATTTTAGAAGTTTCAAGTTAGACACTCCATGAGTATCTAACTACAGCAGAGGTATACGTTTTAAAAACTTTAAAGTCAAGAAAAGAAAATTTGAATCAATAGGATTTAAAACCCAAATGAAGACAATTTATTTTTAAAATAGCTTTTATAGGTTCCTTTGTTTAGAAACATAATATTGTATAACTTGGTTTATATTAACCTGATTTTTATGATCAGACACATAAAAACTTGGGAAAAAGAGAAAATTATGGGGAAAATTTATTTGACTTTAAAATCAAATCAGATTTTCTCTCTAGACCAAAGAAAAACTGGGTAGTTTAGTCCCCTGGCTCTCAAATTGTGGTCCAAGGACTGGCATTATCAGCTTCACCTGAAAGCTAGTAAAAAAACGCATACTCTAAGTTTCTGCATTCTAACAAGATTCCCAGGTGACTTGAATGCATGGGCCTGGTCTGGAATAAGCTGCATAGTTTGTTGTGATGTGCTATTTCTGGATGAGCATATTCTTCATATTCAAATTATCTTCACAGATATGTTTGGACAAGTCATTTCCTCAAACTGTGATGCATGGACACCTTAGTGAAAGTGGACAGGACAAACGTGTTCACTGACAGCTAAATGCAGAGCAGTGACAACAGGAAGAAAGACACACTCTCTAAATATGTCAACAAGTGAAATGTCACTAAAATAGAGAGATGCCATAACTGGCCAAAGTATCTGACAATTTGGGTGGTCAATAGGCATTGAATAGAGGATTCACAATAGAGTTTTAAGATGATTAAAATATTCTCCTCATATTTTTTAAAAGAAGTTTGTAATAAAATAGGATATAAGAAAAATGTCACTGTGACAAAATTGCCTCCTAACTAGAAAACATAAACTTATTGTATCCTGTTAACAGATGTTTTAACTCGTGGAACATCTAACATCTATTTGCTTCCACATACTTTTCAGCACAACATTAAAGTATTATAACCGAGGGGTGGGAGTTCAGACTCTGAAATCAGACTGTCTGGGTTTGAATACTGGTTCCAACACTTATTTGCTTGGTTAACTTCCCCAAGTTACACTTCCTTTTGTGTCAATGACAATGGGACTAGTATTAGTGACACCTCTAAGAGGGTTGTGTAGGTTACGTAACAGTGCTTGAAAACGTGTTTTAATCAGTTTTTGGACAAACAGCAAATACTCCAATAAATGTTGTCTATTTTTTTTACCTTTGTGAAAACAGAAAAATAAAACCACATAAAGAAGCAACTTTGGCTTAATTTGTGCAAGCTCCTGGAATGAATTAAAATGTCACTTAGGTTTCCACTGGATACATAAGCAATTCCTTGTGTTTATGTTTTCAGAGGTCCTTTGGTAAAAAAGCTGTTCTTCTTGGACATTGATCATACACACTTACTTTTTACTCACTTTCCCCCGAATATACTCATAGAGATTTGTATATTTTACAAGTGCATTGAAGCTTTACAAAGAGAGTGCTTTATTTTTGTCATTATTTTCTTTTATTTGTCATTTTAAACAGCTTTCTTGTGTCATAATTGATATACAAAAAACTGCACATATTTAATGTACACAGTTGGATGAGTTTGGACATAGGCAAACATTATTCCTTTTGCCACCATTTTCATCTTGACTGAACTGCTTTCAACAGCCTATTGGTTCCCATACTGTGGTTTCAAGACATATACTTTTGAAAAATACAGTGTTCAAAGGTAATTAAATTCATATTTCAAGGGTTGTTTAAGCCCAAGTCAAATGCAGTGAATCCTACACAAACCTAAAATGTGTCTACTAAAAGTCATTATCTCATAGGGTGGTGATTCCCCAGGAGACTGCTAGGTGGCAGCATTACTTACAAAACTGGTTTGCAAGAAGGGACAAGTCAGTCCTTCAGTAAAGACCCTGCCTGTGTGCTGACAAGAAGGCTGTGTTGCATATTATTTCAATATTCAAACCATTTATTTGATTTGGTTTATTGCTTTTAAAAAAATAT